AGGGCGGCGGGGTCCCCCGTGAGGGTCCCGGGTGAGGGCGGCGGGGTCCCCCGTGAGGGTCCCGGGTGAGGGCGGCGGGGTCCCCCGTGAGGGTCGGGGGTGAGGGCGGTGAGGGTCGGGGGTGAGCGCGGCGGGTTCCGGGTGCGGTCCTGAGGATCCCGGGGTCCAGCGCTCACCTTCCGACAGCTCCAGCTCCAGCTCCGCCAGGCTCTCGCGCACCTCGACGGGCAGCGGCGCAGTCTCGAGCGGGCACCCGCGGTCGGCCATGGCCCCTGGTGGGCGTGCAGGCGACCACCGCGCTCTCCTCGGCCTGCAGAGCCGCAGCACTCGCTGGCAGCCCGCGGCGGGCGGAGCGAGGCCCGGGCGGCTCCGCACAGGCGGAGGCACGGGCGCAGGCAGGTCTTCTGCGCCGCCGCCCGGCCCAGCAGCCGCGTCTTGCCGCCCAGGTCAGCCCCGAAGCGCGCCTGCGCGGAAGAAGGGGCGCATGAAGCGCGCGTGCGCGGCGGGTCTCAGCCCGGCCCAGCCTCCCGGCCCCGCCCAGCAACACGAAAGGCTCGCTTCCATTGGTCCAGAGAATGCCTCGGGCCGCCCCGGGCCCCAATTGGGCAAGAGGCGAGCCTCTCCCGCAGCGGGGCTCCGGTGCGAGGGCTGCAGCGGGGCTCCCGTGGTGCTCCCGGACTCGCGCGGTTCCGCCTACCTGCATCTGGGTGCTGCGCGGACGGTGCGCAGACTCCGCGCTCTCCCCCGACCCGTTCTGTGGTGAGTCGTGGGCCAGGTGAGCTCGCTCCGGGAACGCTGTCCTGCGCCGCAAAGGCCGGGCCACGTGACCCGAGTCTGCGATGATCGTGGCTCCGGGAGACGTGCAGGGCTCGGTGGCCCTTGCGCTCCGGCGCCCACGCCTCAACAGCACCACTGAGCAACGAGCAATCGCAAGCCAAGTCCGCCTGCAGGCGAAGAAACCTGCCCGCTGCAGCACCGTGCTCTTTTTCTCCGACAGTAAACAGCCCAAGAGGCAACTGCCTGATGTTGAGCTTGGAACCCTGCCTGGCTGGGAGAAGACCTTTGGCACGAGGTTGCAGACGTCGGGGTGGAGGCCATCAAAGGTCCCCCTATCCCAACCTGCTGGGAGCCAAAGGAGCCAGCCGGTGTGGCTCAGCGCTGTCAACCCCGCTGGGCTCCGCCTCCCCGCCGACCGGACGCAGACGTTAAATCATGGTTGTTTCTCAAGATAATTCAGGCAGAAATGTGAGATGCAGAGGGGACAGCTGCAGTACTGTACACGGGGCAACTTAACAGTTTATTGTCTAAGTTCTGGAGGCTAGACTTCTGAGATGCAGCAGTGGCTCCATCTGAAGGCCAGCAGTCTGTTCCCTGCCTCCCTCAGCACCTGGTGGCTGCCTGCAGTCTGATGTTTTTGGCTTCCAGATGCATGCATTGCCTCAGTCTCTACCTTCACGTCCACATGGTGATCTGTGTACCCGAATTTCCCTTTTTTATAAAGAAACCATCTGTACTTGATGTGGGTGTACCTAATGAGCTCAATTCTGTCATCTTCGGGATCCACTTCCAAATAAGGTCACATTCACTGGTACCGAGTGTTAAGACCTAGGCATTCTTTCTGGGAGACACGATATCACCCATCACAAGCTTTAAGCACTAGCATGTTGAGAAGTTTTTGTAGGGTGGAATTATGATGAAGGAAGCTAGAATGTAAAATCAAGTAGTTTCCTGACATATAGGATATCAATGACCACCTCAGCATCCTAAAGACATTTCCTTTACATCAGTAACATTAGGTTAATCAGCCAGATGAGCAGGACAGAAGATGCTGGAGAACTTGGTAATACCTAGCTGCTCCAAAGTTGGAGATAAACGCTGAGAAAATTCAGAGACTGGCTACATCCTTTTTTTTTTTTTTTTAGGATCTAGGGGTATTATACAGTATCCCTTCCAAAGCAGAGGAATCACTGTATCTGGACCTCCTGCTGTTGAGAAAGCTAGACATTTGATGATTCTCTTTTTAATTGAAAAATTATTTATATTACTATCAATTCAGATTTTTCTCTTTTTTTTTGGATTCTCTATTTTGACATTTGATGATTCTTGAGCTGGTTCTTGCCTCGGGTTCTAAAGGCAGTGTGTCCCACGCCTCAGAATATTGCCCTGGCCCACTCATGGGAGAATGTGGAAGATCACCAGTTTTGAAAACAGTCCAGAAAGGAAAGCCTCTGCATTAGGTCCAGGAAGTGATGCAAGCAGATCTCCTGGCTGGGCCACACAGTCTAGCAGGTATGGATCCGTGTCAATGGTGAAGAATGAGGCAGTGTGTAATTTCCTTCATGACCCAATGGGAGATTCAGAATAAAGGACCTGAAAGTTCTGTCCTGCCACTTGGAGCAGAGAACTGTCTGCCTTTGCAGGGGATTCTATACACGTTCACATGCTGGCTTTCTGATGGAGATGGAGCACCTGATTACAAGATACCAAGTGTCTGTGCAACTCAAACTTCTAATTACCATAGGAAAAACATAAAGTTAGCTGGACCCAGCCGCAGTCCCCATCAAATGGAAGCAATACATTTGGGATTGAGCATGAGAATGTACAGAGGTCATCAAGCAAGCTGCAGAATGTCCACTACTGTTGTATCTGAGACTGTCATTTCACATGTATGAATGACCATTGGGGGGAACTCTACCTACCAGTTGATAGAAGAAAAATCTTGAACTTTGTTAACTTGGTTCACAGATGATGGGTTAACTCAGTTCAAAAGGAAAACAGTAGTTACAGCCACACTCAGGGGTAGCCATGAGAAATGGTGGAAGGAACATACACATGCTCCCACTAGGCAGCATTTCAGACAGGGCTCCAAGGTGAGATGGGCAGCAATGGATGGCCTGGGTAGCTGGTCAAGGAAAAGCAGTTTGAAGATGGACCCCAAAATGTCGCAAAGTCATGTAGCTAGACATTGCACTAATGATCTTTGTATGAATGCTAATGCCCACAACACAGTATCCATGAAAGAACAACTACCCAACCAAGTGGACAGAATGATGCAGACAGCTGACATTGGACAAGCTGTTCATGACATGATGGCACACGGACAAAGCAGCCAAAGTTGTATGGACGTGGAGGTTATTCATGAGCCTAACTGCATTGGTTCTCTGACCAAAGCTGACCTAACCCCTAGCTGCCACTCAATGTCTAACTTGTCAGCAAAAGAGACCAATACTAGGCTCGAAATATGGCTCCTTAAATCAGGAATGAACCAATCTAGTTGATGCTGGAAGTCTTCCACTGTAACATTTCCCATGGATGAGCCAGTGGTTCATTTTCACAAGAGACTCATTCCGGATTTGGATTTGACTTTTCTGCCCACAAATACCACCCACACGTGTTTGTTCCATTGACACAGCTTCCCACCTAACATTCCAAACAGGGATTTGTTGTATACCGTGGAAGTGGAGTGGCTGGATAAAGGCACAGCTGAACTGTCCAGCTGGGGGTACTCTGAAGACTGAATGCTATTTGCCAGGGTGCATTAAATTCAAACCATCTCCACAAAGAGAGAGAACAGGTGTCTGAAAACCCAGGGGCAGGAACAAGAGCAGCCCCCGTACCATCATTCCCAGTAACCCTGGGGAACTTTGTGGTTCCTGTCCTCCACATTTAGATTCTTCAGGGTCAAAGGTCACATTGCCAGTCAGCCCAGTTTTTTTTTCCCAAAATTTGTTTTTATTGTTTATTATTTGTTTAAACTTTGGGTTTCCATTTCCCAGAAGAAAAGAGTAGAAGAGAGGTTTGATATCATGGGAAGAGTCTCTAGGGCTCACTCCTTCTATCTTGAAGATCCTTTAGAGATCCTCCACTGTGGGACAAAGTATCCTACTGCAGGTTTAATAGCCATCCAGGAGAAAAACGTCCAACCCTGTCACATATCATGTCATACCATCATCGTTTGAAGAAGGAGGGAGAGGGCTGGCTTTGTAGCTGTGGTAGAGCGCTTGCCTAGCATGTGTGAGCCACTGCGTCCGATCCTTAGTACCACATTAAAAAAATAAACATGGGCTGGGGGTATAGCTCAGTTGGTAGCTAGCAAAGCAAGTGACCACAGGGAAGGAGGGTGGGAGGAAAGGAGAGAGAGAAAAAAGAGAAGGAAAAGAGAGACAAAGCCCAAGGGTTCTTTTGCTCAGTTCAGATAGAAATCATGAGAAGGCAGAGCAAGAGACCCCCAAGCAGGGTTGCTGGAGCCTGTGCTGCGCACTGCTGACGGCTCTGAGGAGTGTCCCAAGGATGTAGGAAATGGAGTTCACACGGGCGCACGCTCAGCTGTGGACCACTGTGCTGCTCAGCTTTTGGGCAGCACTGGAAGAGATGCTCACTACCACCACCCAGGGGACTGGGAAAACCCCAGGGCAAGCCTGGGGTCATTGTCCACTGAATCCAGCAGCAGCCATGAAGCAGCAGAAGTAGTGTGATTGTCCAAGCAGCAGCAGCAGCCACAATGACAGCACTGGGCTCCAGCAGGGAGGTGCCAGTCTCCACCACAGCCTCTGGCTCCACCCCCATCTGATTCCAGCAGAGGCTGTGGTGAGCAGCACCAGGCAGCCCCACTCCACAGGCCAGAACTGCCTGTCCAGGAAAGAATACAGAAAATACCCTTGGGGAGGGTCTGGCCCTTTCTAATTTGTCTCAGGCCAAATAGGACACTCACCAAGAACACACCAAGAGCCCATAGACTGTGAATGAGTTCTGGGAATTTTGGAGTTCTTGCATCTAGGGACCAGCAGGAAAAAACAAAAAACCTATCTTGGCAGCAGAGGAGAGAGAGCTGTTTATGTTGGAATGGGGAAGTATGTGGTGGTCCTCAATGGCATCTCTCAGTAGTCCTTCACTCAACTATGATTAAGAAATTAGGGCTGGACTTGGTGGCAAACACCTGTAATCCCAGCAGCTCAGGAGGCTGACACTAGAGGATCTTGAGTTCAAAGCCAGCCTCAGCCACAATAAGGCACTAAGCAACTCAGTGATACCCGGTCTCTAAATAAAATACAAAATAGGGCTGGGCATATGTCTCAGTGGTTGAATGTCCCCGAGTTCAATCCCTGGTACCATAAAAATTAAAAATAAAAAATATAGAGAAAAAGAAACCAGGAGCTAGGCCCAGTGGTACATGACTGTGATCCCAACTGGTGAGGCTGAGACAGGAGGATCTCAAGTCTGAGGCCAGCCTGGTCAAGTTAGTGAGACCCTGCCTCAAAACCTCAAAATAAAGGGCTGAGGGTAGAGCTCAGTGGTAGAGAACCCTTGGGCTAAGTCCCCAGGGCTACAAAAAAGAGAAAAAGAAACTAGGTGATCCAGCTTGCTTATGTAGCATGACACATGAGCTACTGGTTTAAGGCACACCCGTGAGGCGTCACCTCAAACTTGTAAGACAGGATCACCGAGCAGATGTTGAAAGACAACCTTCAGCAGGCCACTCTGCCCTTCTGCCAGAGCAGCTGCTGCTGGGTGGGGACCATGACATCACCATGCCGTCATGCCAGACACATGCAGCCGTGTGCCATTTTCCAGCAAGTGCTGCCTACATGTGTTGTTAGGGACCTACACATGCATGTGTGTGTAGTCTCTGCCCCTGACCCCTGGCACATGATGCTGTCTTTTTTATGAGCCAGGAGTTCAGTCATGGAGCCAGTGATCTCAGTCATGGTTGTGTAGTGAAGCTGTGGTAAAAACTCTTGACCACAAGCTCAGGCTGGTGGTGAGCACAGCCTGTGTGGGGGTGTCACAGTGCAGAGGGTGCAGGAGCCTGCTCCAGTGCTGTGTATCTTCCACCAGGATGTTCCTGTTGCAGCCTGAGTAATAAAGTCCCATATTCAGTGCTTTCCTAGATCATTCCAGCAAACTACCAAACAGGTAGGGGACCACAGATCTGTAGTTGGCTGGGTAGAACCCTGAGTAGCCTGGGGACCCCACTTGTGGAGGCAGTCTTGGGAGACTGAGTCCCTAACTTGTGGAGCCTGCGGGGTGACACCAGAATTGAACTGGGGGACACCCTACTGGTGTCAGTGAATGGTAGAGCAAAATGGAATTAGCAGGCAAGGATCACATAGGCTGGGCAGCACGGGTGCCACAGCTGCTCCAGTGTGTTGTCCCCACATTTGCCCACTGCTGTTCCAGACATGGACTTGCTTGTCCTCCCAAAACTTGTTTGTAGACTTGTCCTTTGCTTCTAATCAGAAACCTCTTCTCATGGTGTGGCCCTGGGTTTCTGAGCAAGGACTGTACCATCTTGCCACAAACTCCCATTGCCAGCAGCAGCTTGTCCAGTGGTGGGAAGACAGGATGAAGACAGTCCCGGCTGGGATGTGCACTGAGTAAGTTCCAACAGCTGGAAGCCCAATGGCTGAAGATCAGAAAGGACCTTGGACCAATTCTTGCTCTCCAGCCCATGACCCTATTCTGGGAGGACTACTCCCACCAGATGTGACCAGGGTCCTGTTGAGCCAGCAGCCAAGGCTGCTGTCAGCACAGACACATGGGAATGGGGCTCCTGAGCCAGGGGGTTCCTGGTCCCAGTAACCCAGGAGGCGGCAGTGAGCAAAGTCTGCGACCTGGGCCTCACCAGCAGCACCTCATGGTACTTGTGCTTCAAGTTCAGTCATAGGGAAAGAAAAAGAAGTCCTCTGAAGTAGAGGTCACCAGTGTTGTCTTACAGGGGGAAGGCACAGGCCACCCAACCAGCCACAACGCTAGTAGGGGACAGAAAAACAAAGACTATACAAAGGAAGAAGGTGACAGATACCAACGAGAGCCATGACTAGTTGTGCCTCTTACTTTAACGTATGCATCAAACACACCCCCTTTCATTTCCTCTGTTTTGTTAATTTTATTTTTTTTTAATTTTTTTTTTTTAATATTTATTTATTAGTTATTGGTGGACACAACATCTTTGTTGGTATGTGGTGCTGGAGGATCGAACCCGGGCCGCACGCATGCCAGGCGAGCGCGCTACCGCTTGAGCCACATCCCAGCCCCTCATTTCCTCTGTTTTGGATGCTGGGGATTGAACCCAGGGGTGCTTTATCATTGGGCTATATCCCAGCCCTTTTTGTTTTTTGAGACACTAAGTTCCCTAGCCTGGCCTTGAACTTGCAATCTCCCTCCCTCTGAGGAGTCACTGGGAGGACAGGTGTGCACCATGCCAGCTCCCCTCTCACTTTGCATAAAGGGTTGTGGTGCATTTACTTCACAAACCAGTTTGCAGGCATCACGTCACAGGGCCTGGAGGACATCTGCATTGTAGCCTAGACGGCTGCAATGGATGCTTCATGGGCCTTGGAGAGAAAGATGCTACCTGGTGTCAGGGAGGTGCCTCAATTCACACTCCAGTAACAGGACATGGATAAAAGGCGAGAACAAGTAGCCCGGGGTGAACTCTGCCGACCATCTGCCTGTGTGTCCATCTTGGTTTTGCATGGGGTGTTGGATTCTGCAAAGCACCTGGCCCGGGCATCTCCTCTCTCCTTGGGGACTATCTTCTGTGGGAGGGGCCTGGTCCTGAGCCCCAGTGACCACTTGACCTGTTGTGCATCTCCAGCTGCTTCACCTTGTGGTCCAGGTCCACCTCATCCGTCATCAGAGCAGCCCAATCCTTGCATCCAACCCCCTTGAAAACCTAGAGTGGTTTTGTTTTCCACCCTGCACTCTTGCCGGGGTGATGCCAGAACTGAACTGTGGGACACCCTACTGATGTCAGTGAGTGGCAGAGCAAAATGGAGTTAGGAGGCATTCCCGGGCTGGACTTTACTGGACCATGATGCACTTTCTTCATCTTTCATTATGAATATTTTCAAACAGTGACCATATACCCACTAATTAAATGAAAGGAATGAGGAACAGTAGGATGATGCACAGTGAAGAGTGACCTGAGCTCACTCACGCGTTTGACTTTCCAGAGTCTGACATAAATCTAGGTTTTATTTTTTCATTTTTTGCCAATAAGAAGCACACACTGGGTGAACCAGACACCAGCACCAGGCTGCTCACAACAGAACAGGGCTTACACTTTGTTCCTTCCCACCTGTGTGTGTTTAAAACTCAAAACTTTAAACAAGTTCCCATCTGTACACTTAAGAAACTAAACAACTGGAAGCTGTCCTCACTTCCCTCCCAAAGAGGCAGGGAGGCTCTGCCAACAGGCCTGGGGCAGTCATGTAGCCGCCAAGCAGAGGCCAGGAGGCTGGGAGCAGGAACACAGAGATCTGCCAGAACTGCTCCATGTGGCTTTGCTGCAATGCCTCGAGGAGGGACTTGGTGGCACTTGGGGCTGGCATCAGGGGCTCATGAGGAGTGCCCTGGTCACATGCGCTTTCCTTAGGAAAAAACACCTTTCCTCAAATAGAAAGGCCACAGGTTAAGAGCCACAGGACTTTATTCACTGTTTCGTCTTCTGGCGGCAGGATTTCTTTGAAGTAGAATCTAAAAACAAGTAAAAATAAGGTAGTGATTTCACACATCTTTTAAAAGTAATCTCATAATTTCCAGATGCTATTACTGATTTCATCTCAATTTTGGTAAAAATGAAACGTGGTTTAATTATGAAGCTCAAGAAACACTGGGTAGGAGCTGCAGCTGTAGCCCAGGGAKAGAGCAAGGGGTCTGATCATCAGCACTACATAAAAGTAAATAAAGGTCTTGTATCCACTGCAACTAAAATAAATACATGTTAAAAAAGAGAGAAACAGAACTCAATGTAATCTCAATGTAAGAGAAAGGACAAAAAGTCCAGGCCTGAGCCAAACTGACTGGCACTGAGTGTCTCTCCCGTCCACAGTGCACCCACTGAGCATAAGACTAGATAGAGCTGGCAAGGACTGGGCAGAACACCAGCACCTCTGCCTACGTTGTCTCTCACTCCCAGGGGGAGTTACGTCATTTTAACAAGTATTCCGAGGACTGTCGTTACCTGGTTGCACCCCCACTAGTCTTTGCTGGATCATTTCTAAATGGTGAATATATTCTGTCAAAGAATGTTCTGAATCTTGAGAGGCAGCCAGAGATCTTTCTGATCTTGAATTTGGGGATGGAGCGGATCTTCAAACCACCAAATGAGGAGAAAAAAGAAAAAAGGAAAGATTGAACCCAACAGATGGGACCATGATGTGTGCACCAGGAGCTGCTGTCCAGGCTCCTGGGAAACGGGCAGGCCGGGCAGCTTCACGTCAGAGAGAACACTAAGACTTTAACAGCAAACGCTACATACAGAGTGCTTTAAGAACCAATTCCAGACTGTTTCACAGTTAAAGTGAGTAGAAACTGTCATGTTACTTCATTCACTAGGCCATCAAATATGCATCCTTCCCCCCATAGCCTGAGGTAGCCCACCTGCCCTTCCCTTGGGCAAAGCACAGGCTGCCCAGCCCCACTTGGCGGTCCTCATACCAGGGCCATTTTCCCTCTGCACCTGATAAGGCCTAGACCTCCTGGACAGAACCAGTATGTGACTCTCGAAGCTCACTGTACACCTTGCCTTGTCTGGGGGCGGGGGGCAGTGCAAAGGAGCCACAGGCTGCAGGGAGATGTCAACAGAGGTAAGTGAGCTGAAGCACCACAACTGACCTCTCCTTCCGGCTTGGAAAGGCTGCTGCTGCAGGTCCAGAGCCTTGGGCAGTATCCCTGGCGAGGACAGATGTCTCCTCCTGGGTTGGTGGGGTCAGTCTGGTTTCTGGTGGACACAGCTGCTGCTGTGGCACTCGGGGCCCTTCCCCAYAGGTATTCAACATCAGAAGAGGAGAAGAAAGGAATGTGTTTGAGTCGGGAGGCCCATCTACCAAAGACTGATAAGCTTTTAAGAGCCTTCAGAGCAGTTTCAACATTTTAAAAGTACTCAGATTATAACATATTTTTAAAAGTTCTAGAGACCTGGGTTTTGACCACCTGTACTTCATTCCCAGAGCAGGCCCTAACCCCTAGCACTGGCACAGGCAGCCCATGGCTGGAAAGCCTCAGAGGGCTGTGGGTAAGGTGGGGTTCTCCTGCCTCTGCCATCTCTGAGGAGTGGTGTCAGGAGGAGGGAGGACAAACTCAAGACCAGGCATGGCCCAGAGTGGGGACAAGTTTTCCTGATGGCCTGAACCATCAAGTCGCCAGATGGTCCAGCCCTCTAGACGCTGGGATAAGGGCCCAGAAGTGCCCTACTTCCTGGTGATGGCCTGCTGTCAGAAAGCCAGCTGTGCACGCTGCAGGTGGCAGCAGCCCAGAGAAGAGCAGAGAGGAAATGGGCCTGAGCCCCAGGTGATGAGCAGTGCCTCGAGAAAGACCAACAGGACGCAGGACCCCCGTCGACTCCATCCAATGCTAGGTACTGTCTACGTACTGGCGCTTCCGTGAGCTGCAGAGCCACTCCAGGTGCCAGCATGCAGACCTGGCGCTGCGGTTCTCCTGCTGCCTCTGACAGCTGTGCTAGCTAGGCTCACTAGTCCTCACAGTGCCCTATGTAATCCTGAAAAGTGGCTCAACACTGACACAAACACTACCGCACAGAGGACAGGCATGCACACCTGGGCGGGGGGCTCTGCCTTGTGGTGGGACTCCTTTCCGATCTACCTCTTGCCATTTCTTAACCAGGAAGCGTAACCTACAATGAAAGGGGACAAAACACATTTAAAACTGCAAAATGGAAATGAAAGGAGCAATGGAAACACTCCTAGACCTCGCAGCCCCTAAGCGATGCAGACTCCATGACGACCCAGGCTGGCTGCCACTCTGGCTGTGCTGCACACAGGATAAGTGCCTTCCCACACACTGGGTCCCCGGAGCCACCACAGCTCAGCTCTGCTCTCGGGGTCTAGGTCAAAACCATCTGTGGCACCAGGGACCAGGAAAAAGGAACCTTGCAGGCTTCATCTTACCATCGACAGCACCAGACAATGCCAGAGAGGCAAGGAGGCAGGGGCACAACGTGCAAGGAGTGGGTGCAGTCCTCAGGCCGCCACTCCAGACAAGACCCGCCGAGGTCCTACAGAGAAGGCAACCAGAGGACTGAGGTCCCATGGCCCAAGGCCCTGCAGGCAGCCTCAGAGTCTACCCACCTTCCTCTGCCAAGCACCATCCAAGATACCTCCTAGGGCAGAACATTCTCCTCACCCAGCACTATTCAAGACACCACCTGGAGCAGGGCCTTCTCCCCACCCAGCACTCTCCAAGAAACCTCCTGGAACAAGGCCTTCTCCTCCACCCAGCACTCTCCAAGAAACCTCCTGGAACAGGGCCTTCTCCTCCACCTAGCACTCTCCAAGACACCTCCTGGAACAGGGCCTTCTCCTCCACCCAGCACTCTCCAGGACACCTCCTGGAGAAGGGCCTTCTCCTCACCCAGCACTCTCCAAGACACCTCCTGGAGGAGGGCCTTCTCCTCACCCAGCACTCCCCAAGACACCCCTGGAGCAGGACCTTCTCC